TAACTCTGTCTGTCTGTCTGTCTGTCCCCGTCTGTCTGTCACTCTAACTCTGTCTGTCCCCGTCTGTCTGTCACTCTAACTCTGTCTGTCCCCGTCTGTCTGTCTGTAACTCTGTCTGTCTGTCTGTAACTCTGTCTGTGTCCCTCTGTCTGTCTGTCTGTCCCCGTCTGTCTGTCACTCTAACTCTGTCTGTCCCCGTCTGTCTGTCTGTAACTCTGTCTGTCTGTCTGTAACTCTGTCTGTCTGTCTGTAACTCTGTCTGTGTCCCTCTGTCTGTCTGTCTGTCTGTCACTCTAACTCTGTCTGTCCCCGTCTGTCTGTCACTCTAACTCTGTCTGTCCCCGTCTGTCTGTCACTCTAACTCTGTCTGTGTCCCTCTGTCCCTCTGTCTGTCTGTCTCCGTCTGTCACTCACTCTAACTCTGTCTGTCCCCGTCTGTCTGTCCCTCTGTCTGTCTGTCTGTCTGTCCCCGTCTGTCTGTAACTCTTACTCTGTCTGTCTGTCTGTAACTCTGTCTGTCTGTCTGTCTGTCTGTCTGTCTGTCCCCGTCTGTCCCCGTCTGTCACTCTAACTCTGTCTGTCCCCGTCTGTCTGTCACTCTAACTCTGTCTGTCCCCGTCTGTCTGTCACTCTAACTCTGTCTGTCCCCGTCTGTCCCCGTCTGTCCGTCAGTGTTTCGCGGTGCGCTCTCTGGGCTGGTTGGAGGTGGAGGAGGAGGACCTGTCTCCGGGTCGCAGCAGTCTGGCGGTCAGTAACGTCATCCAGCAGCTGTCTCACTGCGGCGCTGAGCAGAAGGACCGTCCGGGGGCTTCAGGCGAGGTGAGACACCTGCTGACATGTGACCTGTCTCCTGTCCGTCAGTTCAAACACTGACCTGTCCACCTGTCCGTCTGTCTGTCTGCAGGGTCGAGAGATGATGCTGGTCCTCAAGAAAGACACCCTGTCCTTACTGGACCCTTTAGACCACACCCTCCTGCACTGTCAGCCAATCATCAACATCCGTGTGTGGGGGGTGGGCTGCAACAACGGCAGGTGAGCCAATCAGAGAGCAGCTGGGTCTGATTGGTGGAGATAAAGCTAACAGCGTCCCCTCTCAGAGCGCCATGTTGGAGCATGCTCAGTGTGAAGATCCCCTCCTGATGGTCACTAACACTCTCACTCTCTCTGTCTCTTTAACACGCCCCTCCCCCACCCCCCCTCACCTGGGCAGGGACAGGTAAACCTCTCTACCTCTACCTCTCACATCAGGGCCGAGCACGCTCAGTCACGCTCATCCTCACATCCTGTTTACGTCAGGGTCATGATCATCATCTCACCTGCTGATCACATGACTGTGGATCAGCTGGAACATGACAGGTCCACTGTGTGTGTGTGTGTGTGTGTGTGTGTGTGTGTGTGTGTGTGTGTGTGTGTGTGTTCAGGGACTTTGCCTTTGTTGCAGGTGATAAGGACAGCTGTGTCCTCAAGTGTCACGTGTTTCGCTGCAACGCTCCGGCTAAAGCCATCGCCACGGCGCTGCACGAGATGTGCTCGAAGGTCAGTGTGTCGGCGAAACGTCCCACGTCTGTTTGAATCAGTCAGTCCGTTTCCATGACAACCGAGAAAACCGAATTATCGCCTTATTCCGATTAAGACCGGACAACTGAAGGTCATGTAAACACCTTAGTGTGACTATAATCAGAGTTTGGAATTCGATTTTCTCTACCATGTAACCAGCGTAGTCAGAGTATGTTGCCACGCCCCCGTAACCCCGTAACAAACCCCAGAGTAGAGGAGTAGCGTTGGTCTCATCTTTAGAAAAAGTAGCGCGTCCATCATGTCGGACAAAAACAACGCTGTACGATGCTCCATCTTCTTGTTTCTCCAAAATGCCCAGCAGCAGTTGTAGACACTTCTGACGTCTGACACCGACCTGCTGTTGTTGTTGACGGTTGGATGGGGTCGGAAACAGCGCCGCTGAAAAGACCCATATCGCCCCCTAGTGTTGGGGAGGAGGACACGTTCACGTCAATAATTCAGTAGAGAAGTCTGATTCAGAGAAAAAGACGAATTATGAGTTTAGTCCGATCTGTCCGAGAACAGACCGGAGAAGGAGAAGAAGAAGAAGACGTAGCTGTAGTTTTCTTCGTCTCATTGTGACCTTCATACGACTCCAACATTTGGACGGACTCTTGTTCTGTAACTTCGTGACCTTCAGGTCCAAACTCGGGTTCAGCTGAGACTGACCGCCGTCTTTCTGTCCACAGATCATGATGTCAGAGAAGATGGTGAGACCATCTCGCTCGCTGACCATGGACAGTATCTCACCTGAAGACCTGCCCAGACAAGGTGACCCATCTGTCCTGCTCTGTCCTCACCTGCAGCTCTCTGATTGGTCTTCTGATGACTCCTCCCCCTTTCTGTTTCAGTGGAGTTCCTGGAGGCGGTCCGGAAGCAGGTCCAAAAGTTTGAGGTCCAGTACATCGGAAACCTGCCGGTCTCCAGAGCCATGGGTAGACTGAGTCCAAACCTGAACGCACCATCGTCCCGCCCACGACCGCTGAGAACGCACTGATGGTGATTCTGTGTGTGTGTGTGCGTGTGTGCGTGTGCGTGTGCAGGTATGGAGGTGTTGAACAGAGCCATAGAGAGCATCATGAACTCCACAGACAGAGACGAGTGGGAGCCCGCCGTCATCCACGTCACCGACAACATCCTGTCGCTGTGGAAGGGGGAGGTACGCCATCTTTAAAAAAAAAAAAAAGGTTAATCCACGAGGTCAAAGGTCATCAACCTCACTCTGTCTATCTGATTGGCTCTTGACAGGAGGGGGAGGAGCCTTTCTGGGAGTGTCAGGTCCGTTTCCTAACCTTCCTGGGCGTTGGTCATGACAGCCACACCTTCGCTGTGATCGTGGACGGCGGTACGCAACGCTTCGAGTGTCACGTGTTCTGGTGTGAGCCGGACGCAGGGATCCTGTCTGAGGCGGTCCAGGCTGCCTGCATGGTGAGTCCCAGAACCAGAATCAGAACCGGGGCTGGAGCAGGGGGGCTAACCCTGACCCCCGATCTCCACCTCCATCCTGATCGTCTCCTAAAAGGTCGTATCCTCCGATCGTAGCTGATCGTAACCATTCAAGTTAACGTGTCGATTTACACCGACTTCTTTCCGTTCCTCTGAGGATCGCCGGACTCCTCAGCTGATCACAAGAGTTCTATTTTTTCTGGACGCCGGAGCATGGCGGATAAATTCAGCACAGATTAACCCGTGCTGGAAAGGAAGTCGGGCACAGACACAAAATAAAACATCCGGCTTCTTTTCAAAATAAAACACCTGGCTTCTTTTCAAAATAAAACACCCGGCTTCTTTTCAGAATAAAACACCTGGCTTCTTTTCAGAATAAAACACCCGGCTTCTTTTCAGAATAAAACACCCGGCTTCTTTTCAGAATAAAACACCTGGCTTCTTTTCAAAATAAAACACCCGGCTTCTTTTCAGAATAAAACACCCGGCTTCTTTTCAGAATAAAACACCTGGCTTCTTTTCAAAATAAAACACCCGGCTTCTTTTCAGAATAAAACACCCGGCTATGAGGCGTCTCGGTATAACGCTGCGTCTGAGTTTCCTTGGAAGCCCAGGGTCCGAGCTGAAAATGACGTCACACCCGAGTTCCCAGCGTTTCAGTTACCAAGTCGGAAAAAAACGAAATCGGAGACCTGAGAGAAGACGGCGACGTCTACGAACGTTTTTTTAGCTCTTATATTCCGACGAGCTAAGCGCTAAAATAACTTAAATTTCACGTCATTTTCAGCTCAGACTTCTGTCGTCCGAGGAAACTCGAACGCAGCGTGACACTTTCTCATCTCCCGCTGTTGATTGTTGATGACATCACTTCCTGTCTTACAGGTTCAGTACCAGAAGTGTCTGGTGGCACAGACTCCTCCCCCCAGGAGCAAGTCATGGCGTGCGACCCCATCAAAGGTCAAACGGGCCAATTCGATGGACGGGGCCGCCTTCCCTCCTCTTTCGACCTGTTGCCATGGCAGCAGTAGCAGCAGTCACGGCGCCATGATGGCGCCCAGGATCACCAAAGGCATCGGAAGCAGCAGCAACGTGAGGAAGGGAATGTTGGCGTTCTTTGAAACTTTCCGGAATAAACAGGCCGCCACTTCCTAATGACTGAGGGCGGGGCCACCAGGGACACGTGTCAGAGAAGACCGCCAGTCCTCCAGGACTCTAACACATCAACGAAGACTCGGACGGCGTCTCAGCACACAAATGGGGTTCTGGTGGTCCTGACTGTGCCGCCTTCACATCACCAGCGACGCCCTGAGACCACAGCCGCCTACTTCCTGTCTGGAACACCTCTGTTTGGCGTAGCTTAGCATCACAGTGCTAGCTAACCGCCTGCTGGTTGAACAACATGATCGGACCCAACAGCTTCTGAAGAACCACGACCAGAACCAGGAACTATTAACGGAGAATCGAACTGCAAACAGGTCACACTTGATCACATGACTGATGGACCGACTGGCGGGTTACTATCATACTCTACTCAGGATCGCCAACAGAAGAGCAGAAAGGAGACGTGAGCGATGGTTCAGAGCTAGCTAACTCCTCCTCATCATCATCATCAGCTGATTACTCTGTAAGGTCATGTGACCGTGAGACCCCCCCGAACTTACCAATCATAAGAAACAAAGAGCTAATGCTAGAGCTAATGCTAGAGCTAATGCTAGTGGTAACATTGAGATGATGTTATTGCTAATGTTAAACTAACGTAGGAGCTAAAGTTAGCGGCAACGTTGAGCTAACGGTAGAGCGAATATTGGGCTAACTTTGAGCTAACATTCGAGCTAGCGTTGAGCTAACATTCGAGCTAGCGTTGAGCCGTAGAGTGATAGGGCGGAGCGATGTCTTGGCTGGATCAGAGTCCGATATTATCCTGTTATGTTCCTGCTTCATATTTAGAGATTTATCAAAACTGCACTGACAGATTCTGACCATTAGGGGGCAGAGATCGAAATGCCTGCTGATGTGACGTTTACTGACCTACCTGTCCTTGTGTAGGACGTTACCATGGTAACTTCTTTTAAAAAGAGAGAACAAACGGCTGAAATGAGGGACTTCATTTCAGTCATGAAGTGTATTATCACCTCGGCCACAGGGGGCGCTAAAATCAACCCATATTCAAGGTGATATATTATTTTCCTATCAGCTGATATCGATCAATATCAGGATCTAAAAATCTAACAGTGTTTATTGGTCTCATGTCTTTTCAATAATCTCCTGCATCTGTGAGGTCTTTGTGTCTCTTTGGCGTTTTGTCGTAAGGCGTCGCTCTAGAGAAAGCCGACTGAATGGTCGTCTGTTTCAGGCGCCATGGGCTCCTCGCTCCTCTCGGGGTTTGTAACCTTTTGCGTTGCGCGTGCTCTGTGGCGTGGCGCTGCTTCAGGTGGTGAAAAAGATTTGAGGTATTCCCCGACTTTGTGAGAACATGTACTCGACATAATTTACAGTCCACATTACTCTGCTTCATGTCCGACCTCCAAAAACCAAAATACCTCCACACCACCGACGTTTTCCTAACGCCAGTGTTGTGGTTGACATTGATGTGGTCATCTGTTGAGCCTTCATGGTCATTTCTGTCGGGGGTAGCACTCATTTTCTTTGTTTCTCACCAACAGTGCTGTCGGCTTCACCTGTTAAAGTGCTATGGTTGGGTGGAGCTGCTGTCTGCTACGACGCTGCAGTTGGTTGATACTTGGTTCTAATTCAGAACATGATTGGTTCAGACCCGGAGAAACTCCCCTTTTCATTGGCTGTTCATAAAGTCTACCAGAAAATGCCAGAATGACGACTATTGAAAAGCATATTGATCATGTTTTATATTGATATTGAAGGAAATTAATTTTTGATCGTTATCACTTAATCGCCCAGCCCCACCTTTGCCCCCTGATGGACATTAGAGGAAACACGGGTTAAAAGGTTCTTCCTGTGAATCTATCGGCCTTGAAGGAAGAGTCCGTCTTTGGTCGCTCTCTTTAACACGTCATTAGTGGGTCAGTAAACGCCTCACAGACAGAGTTCAGGTCTTTTATTTTGGTGACAGTTTAAAAACTGTTCAGCAGTTTGCATGTCAGGCACGAATGGCAGCATGGAGGGTCATTAAAGAAATCCTGGAGACGACTGAACCGAGCGCTTCCTGTTCCTGAACGTTTGATCCAAAATATTTAACCCACAGAAAACATGCCTGGTTTTAAAGGGACAGAAAAGCTGCATCCTGATTGGCTGAATCACCTGTAGATAGAAGCTTTAGCGTGTTTAATGTGCGTAGGAGATATCGGTGAGACGTCTGCAACAGGAAGTGATGTAACGGTTGTCACAGCCGTTTCCTGTGTGAACATCTGCAGCACAAAACGAACCAATGATGTCATGTAGAGAAGAACCAAAAATAAACTCAAACAAAAACTCACAGCGTGTGTGTGTGTGTGTGTGTGTGTGTGTGTGTGTGTGTGTGTGTGTGTGTGTGTGTGTGTCTTTAAATGACTCTAACGCTGGGATAGCAGCGATTATTATGCTAATGCTACATTAGCTGTTAGCTTCATGTCTGGTTAGCCCTGGCGCTACCCAATCTGTCCCAGAAACCCTATCCGTACTGCACAGGTGTAGATTTACTTCAACTTAAAAACTTTATTAAACTACCGATCGATTCAGAAACAAGATGGCGATGTTACAGGCTAGCTAGCAGGATGCTCCAAGGCTAATGCCGAGGTATTCTCCAGAGCTCCTGCCCAGAACGGTGAGACCTTTTGGGCCACAAATTAAATTTATTAACAAGAAGCCGACACATTATGGACGATGAATTTCAGCGTTTTTATCCAGCGTTTGTATTTCATTTAAGCCTTTAGAACTACGTTACAGTTTTACAGTTTAGCTGCAGTAGGAATAAAGAGCATTAACCAAACTAAACAGTCAGATACTTTATTTAACTCATTCAATAACTCCGCGAGGCCACGGTAGCTGCAGCGCTCCGACAAAAGGATTTTCAGTGCGCCTTATACTGCGAAAAATTTGTGTCAAAGTTGTCGCAAAGATGGCCAGGAGAGGCAGTGACGTACGTTTCGCACATGTGCAGAACAAATCGGGTTTCCAGGACGGATCAGGTAGCGACATTAACTGTGAGAGAGAGTTTTAATGAGGTTCAGTTCGTAACGTTTGTGTGCGATCGTCGGCCCGGTGTTCCTCAGGGAGGTGTTTTTGGACCCGCTGTACTGTGAAGGTTCCTGTCTCTGAACGCCATCCATCAGCCAAGTCAGATGTGGGCGGAGCTTCAGGTGAGTTATTTATTTTGTATTTACGCCAGCTCAGACTGGTTTAAATCCAAACTCTGGAGGCTGTTTGACCACAAAACACCTGGAGGCTTCAGGTGGAGGGTCAGGACTCTGGGCTCCTGTTACTACGGTAACCGTGGGGGAGGGTTAATTATCAGTGTTGATAATTTAATGTCATTAAATTTCAATAAAAAACAGTTACAACTAAAATTGATAACGATGGATGGATATTTTTTAAAAGACAGAGGGGAAAGAAAGTAGAGAGGAGGAGGAGGACAGAGGAGACAGAGGGGGGAGGAGGAGGAGGAGGAGGAGGTGTGTCTCTGACCTCACCCTGTCCTCGTGAAGCTGCCAGCTGTTCCTCGCGCTCTATCGACCCATCAATCAGCCAGGTAACCACTCCATCCCCAGGTAAGAGAGAGAAATCCGAGCGAGAGGAGCATTCAAAGGTGAGTTCAGATTCTGAGCCTGTGGCTCCGAATTCTACTGAGAAAATCTACATTTTAAATATAATTTCATTTAAAGTCATATTCTCCCGCTCACACCACGAAGTTTAAATATCTCTGAGTGTCTATGAGTCTGTAATTGAATTCGGCCATGTTGTGGTTTAATAATAGCAGCTGCTTCAAACATGATGAACAGTTTTTAAACCGCTGTAAATACTGTCTCTCTGTGGACTTTGAGCGTGTTGGCAGAACTTTCATCTCTCTAATGGTAAAATATCAGCAGGTACAGGTGGATGTAGAGCTGACCGAATTATAGTCTGGATCCGCGGAGTTTGTGAAAAATCATAAATGTTACACCATGAGCTGAGAAATCGTAGAGTTAAGTCGGAAAATATAAATTACTTAAGTTCTGAATGGAGTTTGTTTTAAACCAATTCGACGCTTGATTCAGACTTTTAAACAGCTGCTCGTAGATTTTAAAGAAAAGTAAATAATAAAATGTCCTCATATTATTATTATTAACACGTTTTTCTGGAGCTTTACCGTCAGATACCATTGCAGTAACTGTCCCTTAAATTAGTTTAATGTAACTTAACTGAATAAAGTACTAATGTCAGACCGGACAAAGATTTCTCATTCTCTAAATTTAAATCTATAAATTATATATTTTAAATTAAATTTATTTTGGGGGGTTAGTCTCTGACAGATGACAGTTAAATCTATAAATGATTAAAAGTTTAAAATGGTTTTAAATAACGGTGATAAGTTCGTGTTCCAGCTGCCGCCTTTAAAAGCCCGGAAACACCTGTCACGTGTTTAAAATGGTTCCGTCTATCTGTCAATCAATTAAACATTAATACATGTTTTATTGATCAACTAAAGTTTGATCAGCTGTTCATGATTGGCAAGTGACGCAATCTGTCCGTCCAGTTCAGTCAGTGTGTGTGTGTGTGTGTGTGTGTGTGTGTGTGTGTGTGTGTGTGTGTGTGTGTGTGTGTGTGATGATCACGTGACCAGCAGACGGTTACTGGTTTAACTAGAAAAGTGTTTGCTAGCTGTTTTCCCCAAAAAATAAACAGTGTGTGTGTGTGTGTGTGTGTGTGTGTGTGTGTGTGTGTGTGTGTGTGTGTGTGTGTGTGTGTGTGACCTGTGGTTACCATGGAAACCGTTGAATTTCATTAGCACAGTTACGTGAGTCTTATTTCAGAGTTTAAGTTTCTTTTTATTGATTTTAGTTTAAATAACAATTTTTTTGGTTCTTTAAATTAAAACTTTGATCTTTTCAGCTGCAGTAAAAGTCTATTTTATTATTTTATTATTTTATTCAGTCTGTTTCATTAGGCCTCGATATCACGTGTTTAAGATCATGATCAAATATCTTTGACTTTAATCCCACACAGAACAGAAACTCCTGTGTAATACTTAAAGGACTAAACAGTCAAACATAGATAATGAAGAATAGATGTCTGCTTGTGTGTCTCGGTGGTAGAGCTCGTTGTTTCTCAGTCTGAAGGTTGACGGTTCGATTTCAGCTCCAACAACAAGCTGAAGAGTCTTTTGGTTTGAGACTCTGATCCCTAAACTGGAGACCGAGTTAATGGATGAGTTAATATGGATGATCCCTATAGCAGCTTAATCCATCAGTGTGTGTGTGAATGAATGAGTGAGTGAGTGAGTGAGTGAGTGAGTGAGTGATTGTGGTTTAAAGAGCTTCACTCCATCATAGAGAAACCCTCTCACCGTTGTTTCCACCTGAAGAATAAAAAACTCTGAAATGATGATAAAACATGTTTGTGTTCTTCTGTCCGTCCAGATGAGTGATTACCCCCCTCCATACGGACCCCACCCCCCCATCAGCCCCGGATACCCCCCAGGTGAGTCTGAACGAGGTTTGGTTATTATATTTTTATTACATTTATTTTCATATTTCAGTCCAGCTGTGATTCAAAACTAAGATCCTGAAATTTGATTTATTTTATTTTCTTTAAATTAACACCAGCCGGACTGATCCGAACAACAATGAATGTAACAATAATAATAATCATCATCATAGTCATTATTTAGATTTAATACTTTCATTATCAGTTTTAGTTTTACTTTGATATGGAAATATTTCACCAGAGTCCTGAGCAGCTGATTGGTTTAAACAGTTGATGTCTGATTGGTGGAAAACGTCACATGACCTCTCACGGTCTCTCTGCAGTTATTGGCCCTCAGCCCTCAGCATTTCCCGGCTCCTCCTATCAGGTACCCATCATGCACTGCAGCAGTTATTCGCACAACACCTGTGTCACGTGACCATCCCTGTAACCATGACAACCACACCTGTCCCCCACACAGACCTTCCCTCAGAACTATGCTGGACCCCCAGGGCCGTACATGAACCAGCCAGGGTACCAGGGATACCAGAGCGGGCCCCTCGGCCCCTCGGGAGAGCAGCTCAGACCCACCACCACGGGTAGGTCAAAGGTCAACCTGTACACACACACACACACACACACACACACACACACACACACACACACACACACACACACACAGGTGAGGAGTTGAATAATAAAACCAGTTCATGTCAGATTATTGAGGTTCGTCTCTATCATCTGGATTAAATTAATCTAAACTGGTTCAAATGGCGGACAGGATTATTGTGTATCGATCAGCTGATTGTTATTTATTTTCATTATTTTAAATTAGCCGGGATTATTGAGTGAAGTGATTAAAACTCGTTAAAGGACCTTAATCCAGCTGAGGTTTCCATGGTAACACTGTCTCCACTGCAGTTATCCAGTAAAAACCATCAGAGCAGGTTAATCTGAGCTGGTTAAAGTTTGAAACTAACCTCTTTATCTGGATGGTGATCTGGTGAAGTGATTAAAAAACCAGCTGATGTTATGGAGTGAAGATCATGTGATTAAAGCTGAAGTTATTAAATGTCTTAAAATGGTTGAAACTGGAGTTATCTCCACTCATCTTTAACCAAACAGCTCTTTAAACATCCACAGATGAACTTAAACAAAAACAACATTAAAAACACGTGAAAACAATCAAAACTAAAGAGTGAAATCTTTGATTGTTATAAAATGATTTAAACTCACTGAGATGATCGTGTTAAAGGACTTTAAACCAGCTGGGATCATCAGTAACCAGCTAAAGTTATCTGGTTAAGATCCTCACCATCTGGGTCAGATAATATGAAGATAACCGAAGTAACCCGGCCCGAAATAACCAGATTACTTTAACTGGTTCAATATTTATCAAGAATATTCCAGATTAGTTTGACAGGTAAAGAGGCTGAGACCAGTTTAAAGGTCGCTGAAGTTTTCACTTCGAAGCTGGTTTTAATGGTTTCGCTGAGTTAGCTGGTTTGGACGTTTAAGTTCGCGGTACGTTGAGTTCGTCCTGAGGGAAATTAAGACACGAGTTTTAGGTACTCAGTCTTGTTTTAACGCGCTGGTTGTACCTGTGACTTATTTCTGGTTTAATTAAAAATGACCGTTAACTCGACGTTGTCCCCTCCCCCCCCTCGCAGTGGTGGTGGTGGAGCAGCAGAGACCACAGGACGACGGCGGCGCCGAGGAAGGGTTTTTGGCGGCGTGTTATGCCGCTCTGTGCTGCTGCTGCCTCATGGACATGCTGAGCGACGACCACTCTGACTGCTGCACCGACTGACCTTTGACCTCTACCACCTGGTGTCTTCTTTCCCATCATGCAGTGGGGCTGACGTTGATTTAAAAATGTACAAATATGATAAAAATTTAGACGAAACAGTTTTATAATCTTTTGTTTCTGAGTCTGTAAATATCGAGCTCTCTGATTGGACGTAGGGCACTCTGACACGTTTGTTGTTACTTCCTGTTTGCGTTTGTTTGTTTTCAGTTTTCTCAGAGCTACGGTGGCCCAGAGGGGTCACTGATGTTTTCAGAGTTTTTAAAGTGTTTGTTTCTGAGCTCTGTTTTTCTGCGTCTTTCAAATAAAGAGAGTCGGAGAGTTTATGAAGATTTACAGGATTAAACCTCCTAAACTTCACACAAAATAAAGGAAACTACAACAACAAGAACAAAACCACCTAAAATAAAAAAGAGGATTACAAATAAAACACTGAGACTGTTCCATCTTAACAAAGTTTATATTTAAGTTAAAGAGGAAATGTTTCGTCCGTCTGTTAGACACGACAGAGAATCAGGACAACATCAAAAAAACATAAAACAACTGAGAAAATTAAGACTTGGAGATTAAAGTTTTTACTAACGAGAATTCAGTCGTAATAAACGGTTATATTTATGATCACTTGGTGCTGATGTTCCAAAAGTTTCTCCTTGTTTAAGAAACTTAAAGTGAATTTTCATGAAACGCTCCTCGGCTCTAATCTCGACAGCTGTCGTCTTAAACAGAAGCTCAGAAAAGAAGAACTTTAACTTTAATCTTGAAGTCTTTACTTTATTAAACCGTCTAATACTTCCTCGTCGTAGTTTTGGACTCAGGGTTTGTTTGTTATTTTAACTCAAAACTTCAGAATTAAAAATGTTTTTAACTAAAAAAAAGTAAAAATGTTTTTAAATTCAGATTTTTTTAATGTCTTTTTTTTAAATGAGAAAACTGTTTAAACTTCTGAACTTCGATTTCCGCTCTGCGATCCGTCCAATCACGAGCTCAGCCTAAGATGGCGGCGACCACAGATCACAGTCTCAGCGGCCCCCCCTGCTGGTCAGAGAGTATTAGGACGCTTCATGAACCTGCAGGACGAGTCAGAGAGGCAGACGGTCTGATCAGGTGTGACGACCTGTTCGAACCTGCTGTCTCTAAATCAAACGTAGTGACCAAACAGAACCGAAGGTCACATGACCTCTCAGGACTTGTTCATGGTCATTTCCTGTCCAGGATGAGAGCTCTGAGGTGAGGACGTGGTGGTCCTTAAAAGGACCGTTGGTCAGGTTGGGTCTTTACTTGGAGCTGGTGTACTTGGTCACGGCCTTGGTGCCCTCGGACACGGCGTGCTTGGCCAGCTCTCCGGGCAGCAGCAGGCGGACGGCGGTCTGGATCTCCCTGGAGGTGATGGTGGAGCGCTTGTTGTAGTGAGCCAGACGGGAGGCCTCCCCGGCGATGCGCTCAAAGATGTCCCCGACGAAGGAGTTCATGATGCCCATGGCCTTGGAGGAGATCCCGGTGTCGGGATGGACCTGCTTCAGGACCTTGTAGACGTAGATGGCGTAGCTCTCCTTCCTGGGTCTCCTCCTCTTCTTCCCGCTCTTGGTGGCCTTTGAGACCGCCTTCTTCGCTCCTTTCTTGGGCGCTTTGGGTCCGCTCTCTCCTGCCATGCTGCTCCGTGTCTCGACTCTCTCTGCTTCCTCTGACTCCGGAGTTCAAGTTTATACGAGTCCAATGCAAATCAGAGCGTGCTGGAACCGGCTCCTGATTGGCTGGAGACGGAGCGACTGACTGAACCGGTTCATCAGGAAGTTCAGAGCGCCGCTGAGACGCCTCCAAGACTAACCTGCAGAGATCTGCTGAGTCAGCACGCTCCCACAGCAGGTGTTCCTCTGACTTCAGGGTCCACAGGGTCCAACTCTGATGGTCACAGGTGGTTCTGCAGGACGGTTCTGCTTCTGTTGTCAGCGGAACCCTGAAGGTCCAGTCTACAGTCAGGTGGGTTTGGATCAGGCCGGTCCTGCTCAGAGGTCCGGTCCCGCTCAGAGGTCCGGTCCCGCTCAGAGGTCCGGTCCTGCTCAGAGGTCCGGTCCCGCTCAGAGGTGCGGTCCCGCTCATAGGTCTGGTCCCGCTCAGAGGTCCGGTCCTGCTCAGAGGTCCGGTTTCAGCTGGTCTGGTTGACTTGCTGCAGGAGGTTGATTCGGCCAACAGAGGGGGAATCTACATGATTTTATCTCTTGATTCTGGACCCGAGCTGACGGGCAGCTGATCCGTTTGAACGGTTCCAGGACCGTGGACCTCCTCAGTCCTGAACAAAATCATTCTTCACTTCTAGAACTGGTTCTTTTCTGGAGTCTCTCTGGAGTCTCTCTCTCTCTTTTCTCCCTGAGATATATAAATATATATATATATATATATTTATATATATATATATATATGTATATATTTATATATACATATATATATAAATATATATATATGTATACACACATATATATATATATATATATATATATATATATATATATATACACACAGTATATAATCTCAGTGATATTCGTCCCTCTCTGGTCTCTGAATAAACTCCATGTGTGTTTTTTTATCTGTAGTCTTTGAAAACCTCTGAAGAATCACCTCTAAATGAAGTTTTCCTCAAATATTTCAGTTTTAATCACAAACATGTTTCATCTGTTACTGAGGACACACACACACACACACACACACACACACACACACACACACACACACACACACACACACACACACACACATATTTAGTGTTAAACTCGGTTTTCTTCTCCGTATTTCATGTTTTATTGTCGCTCTGATTTCTCAGTTTCTCTTCCCTCCAAATTTGAAAATGGCGGTTTATTTGTTTTGTACGTCACAACGGTTACCAGACTTACACATGCGCAGTCTGCAGTCTCCTCGCTCAGCCAATCATGAGTAAGTAACAGCACAGTCGTATTTACATGAAGACTGTACATAAGAAGGAGTCTGTGTCTGTCCGACAGAAACAGTCTGTCCAGAACCGAACCATGGCAGGAGAGAGCGGACCCAAAGCGCCCAAGAAGGGAGCGAAGAAGGCGGTCTCAAAGGCCACCAAGAGCGGGAAGAAGAGGAGGAGACCCAGGAAGGAGAGCTACGCCATCTACGTCTACAAGGTCCTGAAGCAGGTCCATCCCGACACCGGGATCTCCTCCAAGGCCATGGGCATCATGAACTCCTTCGTCGGGGACATCTTTGAGCGCATCGCCGGGGAGGCCTCCCGTCTGGCTCACTACAACAAGCGCTCCACCATCACCTCCAGGGAGATCCAGACCGCCGTCCGCCTGCTGCTGCCCGGAGAGCTGGCCAAGCACGCCGTGTCCGAGGGCACCAAGGCCGTGACCAAGTACACCAGCTCCAAGTAAAGACCCAACCTGACCAACGGTCCTTTTAAGGACCACCACGTCCTCACCTCAGAGCTCTCATCCTGGTCCACACCTGACAACACTCGGGTTTCTGTTCCCCGTGTTTCAGACCCCTCTCCCGTGGATCTCCTGTAGTTTGTCGGTCCTCCTTCACTCGTGGATCAGATCTCTGTTTTAGTCTCTCAGACTCTGGTTCGGTCCTGTGACAGTTTGGGATGATTCGGGTTGAAGCTGTAAACTTTATTTAAACAGAGTTTGTTGTAAAATCAACACTTTAATAAACAAACATAAGATCGAATATTTACGATGATCGGAGTGATGCGTTCAGGGCAGCCTCGGAGAACAGAGTGTTGTATTTCACACACAGATGTTCAGAGAGACTCAAACAGGAGAGAGGACGGAGAACAGAGGAGGACTTTAATGTTCGAGGACTGAAGTTCAGATCAGAGATATTATTATTTTATAATCATGAGTTTTTGTTAAAACAGAAAAGTCTTCAGCTTCACTTCGACTGATTTAAATGATTTCATTATGAATCCTCTCAGAACTCGCTCAGATCCACCAGACTAGAGAACCTCAAACCTGACCGCAGGTCTGACCCGGTCTGTCAGTCCGGTCCGAGGTTCGACTCTGATCCAGTAGGTGATCAGAGGTGAATGTTCCTGTAAATATGAGGTTTCTAGGTCTGATTATCTCCATTCTCTGTTATTCTGTGTAAATAAATCAGTCTGAACACGAACTGAAGATCCTCTGCTCATTAAAGCTCCTGTGAGGAGTTTTCAGAAACAAGACCTTCATCATCATCAGCGTTAGTCAGGCAGACCTTCAGGACCCGGTCTACAGACTGGCTCATAGTCCTCAGTATAGATAAATAACCTTTTTTTACAGCACTTTAAAAAACTGAAGTTTATAAAGTGCTTTGGCGTAAAGTCGTAAAGAACATGGAAAAGATAAAAACAAAAACCTCGTTTAAAATTAAAGGAACATTTTCATGTTTTAAAGGAACCTAAAGAAGAACCAAAGAATCTAAAATAAGACCATGAGGACCAAAAAACATGAAGTAGTGAAGAAGAAGAAAATGAAGTTAAAGTGAAAACAGGATAGTAAATATAAAAGACAAAATCAAGAATGATAATAAAATAATAACAGGTAACACTGATAATAACAGTCATGATAAAACAGAGGAACAGAAATGAGTCAGAGATGAAAGAAGAAAAGAGTTCAAGTTTAACAAAAGAGAAAAAACATCCTCACCTAAAATCAAGTCTGTTTTTATCCTTAATCTCTGATATCGATCAGAATCATTCAGATTAACTCATCCCACCAATAAAAACTCTGTAGGGGGATTATTCTGACATACCAACTTTCTTTAGCTTGTTTTTCATATAAACGTCCACAAGGTGGCGCCATATCCCCATGCTGTGAGTCAGATCATGATGTTGAATTCCTCCCTCCTCTTCTAACTCCTGGACTGTAAAACGAGCACACACACACACACACACACAGATGTTGGTTCAGTTTGATTTCTGTCCTCCCCTCCTCACAGTAATCCTCGGACCACCTTCAAATGATCCAAAAAAGACCCTAAACCAGATCCAGCAGAACCCCCCACATCACCCGGGTTCAGGTTCTTTACTCTGGTTTCCAGTTCAGGTCAGAATGAATCTGAAGATCCTGGTGTTAACCTTTAGATGGAGCTCCAGTCTGTATCTGTGACCTTCTCCACCCTCATGTAGGGAGAGAAAAACTGAAGTGATGGTCTTTGGTCCCGGTGGTCCCTCTGAATCCCCTCCTGTAGACTTGGGTATTTTAACAGACTATTTAAAGACAACCGCGTCTCAGATTTGGGTTTGAAGACAGACGCTGATTTTAAAGGTAAATGATCTCAGTATTTAAATCCAGTTTTTATCACATTAGTCAGCTGACTCAGGTCAAGTCTTTCCTAACAGTAATCCACGTCTTTGTTACGTCTCAGTTTACTGGATTACTGTAACTTTACTCTGGAATCAGACGTTCCTCCATCCTGACCTCCCTCCACTGCTCACCTGTTCATTTTAGATTCTTCATTTTCAGATTCTTTAGTTTCTAAATCTTTAAACGGTCTGACTCCATCTGACCTCTCTGACCTTCTCCACCCCTGCTCGCTCGCTCACTCGCTGCCTCAGGTCAGCTGATCAGCTGCTCCTGGAGGTACCGAGGTCCAAACTGAAGCTCAGAGGGGTTCGATCTTTCTCTGTGTGGACCGAGACAAACCCCCCCACACTGTCCATTTTTAAAACTCGTCTTAAAACCATTTTTACTCATGAGACTCGGCTCCTGTTTCAGTGTTTTATGTTTGTTTTTAGTTTCTATGTTTTTAAATTAGTTTTTAAAAACATTGAAACTATTTTTTACTTTTTAATTCTTTTATTTGATCGTTTTAATTGTTTTTAAATTGTTTTTTTATGTCTGTGTTGTTTGTCTGTTTTTGTTCAGCTCTGGTTGTTTTGATTTATAAATAAAGTTTATTTCCTGTCCTCTGTGTAAAGTAAATATATGTTTATTTATATTTATGTATATTTTTACTTTCCCATGGAGTGTTTTTTTCTTTTTTTTTAATGTTGATTTTTATCAGAGTCTGCTCTTCATGTTCCTGCGGCTCAAACGTTGTTTTTTCAGGTTCTCTTTAAACCGAGCGGACTGGACCGAATCGACTCGGAGAGGTAGAGAGGGTGTCTGACCCGCCCCCCCCAGGACCGGATCACTGAGAGCTCCTGAACCCAGACCACTGTGACAGACCTGTTGTTGACTGTGTCAGTCTGTACTGAGGAGGAGAGTCAGTTTATGGATCAGTGCCAGCAGACTTACCTGTGCAGGTAACCGCCCTGCCCCTCTTCTGTCTGTCTGTGTTTACCTGAGCTGAAAACAGACCGTATTCCAGCAGAATGAAGACATGAAGGTCACGTCTTTCAGCTCCAGTCCCTCCTCAGGGGTCTGAGCTCCGGGTCTCACGGAGAGTTCGTCTGATTCAGAGGATTTTAGAGGCTGTATGAGGCGGAAAGTGTGTGTGAGGTGATCAGACAGTGTGTGTGTGAGAGACGTTTGAGTCCTCAGAAACACAAACATGAGAGTGAGAGAGGACACCGAGGGTCTGAGGGTGAGGAGGGGGACATGTCCTCTCTGTCCCCGCAGCTCTCCTGCTCGAAGTTCGTCTTTTTCCGACGATTTCAGCCTCAAACTGCCGCAGAGAAAACACAGAGTGTGTCGTCAGCCCTCACTGCATTCACCCTCCACGGTTCTCACCTGCTTTATAAGTCCCGCCTCGCTGCTGCACACCTGCAACATTCAAACCCTCTCAGCTCGACTCACACACCTGTTCACCTCCTCGCTACAACGCAGACAATCAAAGATGGCAGAAGAAGTTCAACCCAAAGTCACGAAGAAGAAGTCGTCGACCCCCCAGAAGAGGAGCGGCCTTCAGCTCTGGAAGTGTGTCATCGCCGCCGTGAAGCTCAGCCAGAGCCGCAAAGGGACGTCTTCAGTGGCCATTAAGAAACACCTGAAGAAGGACGGCGTAGATGTGGAGAAGAACAACAGCCGCATCAACACCACCATCAAAAGGCTGGTGACCAAGGGGGACCTGATCCAGGTCACCGGGGTCGGGGCATCTGGCTCCTATAAAATCCCCAAGAAAGAGCAAGCACCCAAGAAACCCAAAGTCAGCAGGACAACCAAGGTCAAGAAAACAAACCTGAAGAAGAAACCGTCAGCCAAGAAGACCGAGACCAAGAAGACCCGGGTCAAGAAGACCGGGGTCAAGAAGACCGGGGCCAAGAAGACCGGGCCCAAGAAGACCGGGCCCAAGAAGCCCCGGGTTAAGAAAGCCGGAGCCAAAAAGACCGGGACCAAGAAGACAGCAGCCAAGAAGACCAGCGTCAAGAAGACTACAACCAAAAAAACTACCAAAACCACCACCAAGAAGACCCGCAAGAGTGTCCCCACCAAGAAGACGCAGACCAAGAGACCTGGAGTCAGAAGGGGGACCCCCAAAAAAGCCCAGAAGTAAAAGAGAAGCAGAACCAGCAACAGTAAGTGCACCAACGGCTCTTTTAAGAGCCACCACAGTCCACTGGAGAGTTCCTGCTCATTTCAGACCGTCAACGTCAGCGTCAGCGTGATCTATCAAACACTTTAGAAAACAGACAGAGGTCTGACGAAGAGAAATAACCAGAGACAGGAAAAACAATCAAAACAGAAAAACAATAAAAAACAGAAAAAACAATAAAAACAGAAAAACAATAAAAAACAGAAAAACAATAAAAACAGAAAAACAATAAAAAATAAAAACAATCAAAAACAGAAAAACAATCAAAAACAGAAAAACAATAAAAACAGAAAAACAATAAAAACAGAAAAACAATCAAAAACAGAAAAACAATAAAACAGAAAAACAATAAAAACAGAAAACAACAATAAAGATCAAACACAGCAGATAAATAAATTACCCAGTAAAAGCAGCTGTACGTCCCCAGAAGCTAAAGTAAAGAGGTGCGTCTTCAGAAGGTTTTAAAGGTGGTCAGCAGTGCGCTCTCTCAGGGCGGAAGCCACGACAGAAAATCCTCCATCTCCTCTAGATTTTAAAAAGTTGAGGAACGTCTAAAACCACCTGATCAGCTGACCTCAGGGCAGATAGTCCGAGGTCAGCCGATTCAGAGACTTAAAGAATCTCAAAATCGAGCCTGGACCCAACCTGAATTTAATGAATCTGAATTCATCAAATTCTCCCTCTTCAAGTTCCCAAAGTTCATGAGTGTTCCAGATTTAATGAGATTGTTTTATCAGTTTATTGATTCTTATTAACTGATGTTAAAGAGTCAAACCTCCTCCTCCAAGTTTCACCTGCTTAATTCTCTTAGTTCTGATTTTATTTTAACACGGTCAGCAGATTTATTTAGTCTCATCTGTGACCCTCAGAAAACGGTGTTTTGGGGATTTTCTGTGACAGAAAATAAAAACTGATCAAAGTGTCTCTAAAAGGTCATTAAACCTTCAATATAAAGTTTGTTTATTCTTATAAAGGCGTTTTAGTCCTTTAATAATTTAGCTGAAGGCTTTTATTTGTCCTGCTTGTTGTTTTTCTGTGTCGTCTTTATAAAACTGAGTGTTCATGATAACAAAGAGCAACTGTCTGTTTTAACCACACAACTTATATTTATATATTCACTCTTTTTAAGCAGTTTAAACACTTTTATCTCCAAAACAGAAGGAAGAACACCAAAACTAAGAGGACTGAAATATCTCCTGATTAAAAATGAGGCAAAGACTTTATTTAAACTACATAAATACACATAAATACACATAAATACATATAAATACACGTAAATACATATAAATACACATAAATACATATAAATACACGTAAATACATATAAATACACGTAAATACATATAAATACACGTAAATACATATAAATACACATAAAAACATATAAATACATATAAATACACATAAAAACATATAAATACACATAAATACATACATATATATCCTTTAGTTCCTCCTCTCAGGCTTCTTCCTGCTTTTCTCTCCTCCCGCCTTTTCTTTCCCTCATTGGCCGTTAGTCGCGCGCAGTGGGCGCGTAATTTGATTTGAATTTGAATCCTCCAATAGGAGACCAGCTGCAGCGTGAGTTAGACCAATCAGCGCCGAGCTCCCCCTCGGCAGTCCCAGTATAAAGCAGCAGCAGGCGCACAGAGACTCAAACTTCAGAACCTGAAGAGTCAGAACCGAACTATGGCCCGAACCAAGCAGACCGCCCGGAAGTCCACCGGAGGAAAAGCCCCCCGGAAGCAGCTCGCCACCAAGGCGGCCCGGAAAAGCGCTCCGGCGACCGGCGGAGTGAAGAAACCCCACCGGTACAGACCCGGTACCGTGGCTCTGAGGGAGATCCGCCGGTACCAGAAGTCCACTGAGCTTCTGATCCGGAAGTTGCCCTTCCAGCGTCTGGTCCGGGAGATCGCTCAGGACTTTAAGACCGACCTGCGGTTCCAGAGTTCGGCCGTCATGGCCCTGCAGGAGTCCAGTGAGGCCTACCTGGTGGGTCTGTTCGAGGACACGAACCTGTGCGCCATCCACGCCAAGAGGGTCACCATCATGCCCAAAGACATCCAGCTGGCCCGGAGGATCCGGGGGGAGAGGGCTTAGAACCGAACCGACCCGACCCAGAACAAAAACGGCTCTTTTCAGAGCCACACACAGACCCAGAGAGCACAGAGTCCTGGACCCACATCTAAGTAAACCAGTCCGGTAAAGGGGGGCCGGTTTTTCACTCTGAACAGGGACTACGGTAGACCTCATTAATAAAGACAATAAGACTCAATAAGAGGGGGGTCCGGACTCATCCCAGACCCGGATCAGGTCCAGTCCCTGACGGTTTTCTATGGAATCAGATTAGTGTCAAAATGATTAAAATAATCAAACTAAATAAAATAAAATAATTTAATTAAAATAATTAAACTAAACTTTTTTTTTTTTTTTAATCTAAGAATTTCTGAGAATCAAAGTCGAACCAGAACCTCACAGATGATCAGTGTAGTTGGTTAAACTCCTGCTCTTGTCCTCGTCTCTCTTTTTATCAGTTTTCTTTCTTTCTTTCTTTAAAGACAGATTTGTTTCTCTGATCCCAAACCTGATTTTCCCACAGACACGTGTTCTCAGGGGGATTTTCACTCTATGGTAATGATGTTAAATATTTAAATGTAGGAGATCTAACTGCACTTTACAGCTGACAACATTCAGGTCTGTCATATTTACCCTCCTGTCTTTGAGTCCAGCTGTGATCCTGTTCCAGGGTCCATGTCTCTGACTAACATGTCTAAGGTTAGTTTATCTCATTAACTGTATATGAAGTTAATTTTTGCTGCATGTAGAGAATAAAGTCAGTCAGAGCGGTCCTGGAGTTTACATCTTTATTTATCACAGTGGTTCTGAAGAACTGTCACAAAGTCGGGATTTGAAGTGAATTCAGATGAAGAGAATATTAGAGTCAGCTTTAATCATTTTTACTCCAGATCTGACAGATTCTGGTTCTGAGGACCAGGAGTCTGAACCAGGGAAGACTCACATGACCCAGGAGTGAGTAGGAAAAGAAACTTTACAGTTTATAAATATATTGATCAGTGATTTTGTTGTATTTGATCTGTTCCTCTCATCTCACTTTTTTCTCCCTTCAGACATTAAACCGTTAAAAATAAAATAAAACTTCTTTAATTTTTCATGTTTTCTCTTTTTTCTGGTTTATGACTTCAGTTAAACTCAGTGATGATGGTTCTGACTTTAGTGTTCTGGAGGGTTAAACAGGTTCGATCTTCTGTTTGATGACGATCATCGTCATTTTGGATCAGAACCTTCTCATTGTTTCTAAGTACCGCTCTAATGAAGATCAGGACTGGTCTCAGTGTTTGTGGGTGGCTCTTAAAAGAGCCGTTGTGGTTGTTCAGGTCCGGTTCGGTTCTGGTCTGGTCCTTTACTTCTTCTCGGCCTTCTTGGGCAGCAGCACCGCCTGGATGTTCGGCAGAACCCCTCCCTGAGCGATGGTCACTCCTCCCAGCAGCTTGTTCAGTTCTTCGTCGTTCCGGACCGCCAGCTGGAGGTGTCTGGGGATGATCCGGGTCTTCTTGTTGTCCCGGGCGGCGTTCCCGGCCAGTTCCAGAACCTCGGCGGTCAGGTACTCAAGTACCGCCGCCAGGTAGACCGGAGCTCCGGCACCGACCCGCTCGGCATATTGTCCCCTCCTCAGCAGCCTGTGAACACGGCCCACCGGGAACTGGAGTCCGGCCCGGGACGAGCGGGACTTGGCCTTTGCTCGGGCTTTACCGGTCTTTCCTCGTCCGGACATGTTCGCTCTTTGGTTCGGAGACGGTCTCAGGTGAGCTGTGAAGGTGAGTTCATCAAGACTGAAGCTGGTTAGAATATGAGGCGAGAGAGCTGCTCTCTGATTGGTCCGAGGGAGCGTAAGTGAGATCCACCAATCAGAGAGTAGCCGACAAGACTCTGAAGTTACAAACACTAACTTCCGCTCTGCCGACATACTAAGCAGTTTTATCTCAGGTGGATCTTATCAGATGTTGATGAAAACATGAGACCTAACCCTGAAGACCACAGAGAGTGGGCTTTTTTAGTTTACCCCCTTTAATCTGTTATTGTTATTGTTATTATTATTATTATTATTATTATTATTACGTTCAGAATGCTCGTGGGTTTTTAATGGATATTTAGTTCACTGTCAGCAACACTGTAAAACCTTTTCTGTTCTATCTTATTGTAAACAGTATTTCTCCTGTAATAAACAATAAAAGGAAAACAAACTGATTTGTTTTTTTTTTTTACTGGAATAGTTTTAGATGTGAACATTTCTTGTGGACACAAAGTTCCCAGTGAAGAAATTTAGTGTAAAAACGGTGAATTTCATGTTTTTCCTGTAAAACTGAAACATTAAAGTCTCTGTAGTTTTTATCATGTCAGTAAAAATCAGTATTCAGTAGTAAAACTTAAAAAGCCCACTCTCTGTGATCTTCAGGGTTAGGTCTCATGTTTTCATCAACATCTGATAAGATCCACGCCTCATATACTAACCAGCTTCAGTCTTGATGAACTCACCTTCTCAGCTCACCTGTCAGCTCACCTGAGACCGTCTCCGAACCAAAGAACGAACATGTCCGGACGAGGAAAGACCGGTAAAGCCCGAGCAAAGGCCAAGTCCCGCTCGTCCCGGGCCGGACTCCAGTTCCCGGTGGGCCGTGTTCACAGGCTGCTGAGGAGGGGACAATATGCCGAGCGGGTCGGTGCCGGAGCTCCGGTCTACCTGGCGGCGGTACTTGAGTACCTGACCGCCGAGGTTCTGGAACTGGCCGGGAACGCCGCCCGGGACAACAAGAAGACCCGGATCATCCCCAGACACCTCCAGCTGGCGGTCCGGAACGACGAAGAACTGAACAAGCTGCTGGGAGGAGTGACCATCGCTCAGGGAGGGGTTCTGCCGAACATCCAGGCGGTGCTGCTGCCCAAGAAGGCCGAGAAGAAGTAAAGAACCGGACCAGAACCGGACCGGACCTGAACAACCACAACGGCTCTTTTAAGAGCCACCCACAAACACTGAGACCAGTCCTGATCAAACTCAGCAAGTCAGTGATTCTGACTCTTGAAAGAGATCCGGATCATGAGGGGCCGTTCAAAGACCGGCTCGTTAAATCGACTCATTTGTTTAAATCCTTAATCTGCGTTTACAGTGATGAGATGAACCGGGTCAGAATAATCCAGATTTACACATTATTAATATTATTATTCTGACAAACTGATTCAAACTTTCTTTGGCTTTTTCTCACTCTAAACCTCCACAAGGTGGCGCCGTTTCCCTGTGCTGTGACAGTCAGATCAATATTTTAAACTTTTCTCCCCTCATCTTAAAAAAAACTTCTTCACTGTAAAACAACCAAACAGGAACATTTTAACAAACATAAACCAGGACAGGATAAAAACAAGAATGACGAGAATTCAGTCCGAACAATCGTGAGGAGAAGTTCGGCTCTTTGTTTCAGATCGGTTGTTTTTTTTTCCCCCTCTATCGTCATTTTTCCAAAATGAACGTTTCCTGTTGAAAACGCTTTAGTGTTCTTTTAATTTCCTAATTTTGTGCTTTTATTTTGAAACTTTTATCACTTTAGTTTAACTTTTAAGTAAAAACTTTTCAAATGAACGAATAACAAGAAAACAGCAAACAAATCACCAGAACTAGAACCAGAACCAATCAGAGGGATTGTCCTCAAAGCGGGTCGGACACCCCAGCTAAGACGGACCGGACCAGACTGGACCAGACTGGACCGGACCCCCCTCCTCTGTTTTAATGGGACTGTGACCATGTGGGTTAGGGGCCAATTTCAGACTTACACTTAGGAGACGGAGACATGGTTCAAATCAAACATTTATTTATAATATTAGATTAAAAACGATCGGAAAGTTATTGATGAATCAGCTATAAAGGTTTGAGTCTGTGATCAAATGTATTGATTAGAAAAGTTTAACCAATAAAAACACTAAAAACAGAGGGGGGGGGGGGGGGGGCAGTCTACTTGAGGAAGGGTCCCAGTAGTTCACTTAACCCCCCCCACACACACACACACACACACACACATGAACTCACTGTAAACTGGTGCAGACTCCTGGTCCAGAACTTCCACCACTGCAGCAGAACGAAAAACAAGTTAAAGAAATTATTTTAAAATGTTTTTTTAAAAAAACTAAAAGACTTGGTTCTGCTGAAACGGGTCTTTAATTAGAACCACTAAAATGTTGACGACATGAAAACACAACCAAACTCTGAAAGACAAAAACGCCATCGTCTTCCTGTTCACTAAAAACAGACGCTCTCACCTGTTCAGGTACGTTTGTCCAGGTTTCCTCCGACCCGGTAACAGTTCTGGTATCACTGGACGCTGACAGACGGGGAAAAGTTCAAACTGGAAACAAAAGAAAAGATTTAAGAACAAAAACGACGAAGCCGACCTCAGGACTCCGATCAGACCATGAGGGAACAAAAGGACGCTCACCTGACACAGGTGTGTTAGATAGGAGGGGAGGAGCTAACCTCTCAGCATTCAGCCTCTCAATCCTTCCTGCTACAGTATCATCCTGTATCTTCACACGTGATTGGCCGCATGGCTGCTATGCTGGCCAATCAAAATCTGAGAGCTGACCTGAGATCTCAGAGTCACATGACCCACCATCAGTCCGGAGGAACGAGGAGGAGAAACACTAAACAGACGAGACACTTGAGATGTTTCCTGGTTCTTCATGTGAGGAGGTCAGATCGACCCTTCAGCTCCTTCAGGTTCTTCTGACCGACCGTCACCTTTCAAACCAGTGAAGGGGGCGGAGCTACAACCTGAGACTCACCTGTATGAGCCGCCCTCTGAGGTTAATGACACCTGTAGATAACCTCATACTTACTTCACTCACTGCAGCCTCAGGTGTTGAAGTCAGAGTGTGATCCTGGAACTAAAGACCTGTCAGAACCAGAACCAGGACCAGAACCAAAGGAGATTAACTTCTGCTCGAGTTGAACCAATGAACAGGAAGGATCTTTTCTTTTGGTCATTACTTTGTATCGTCACCATGGCAACTAACAGCACGCCATTGTCAACAAAAAACAGCGAAATCAACAAAACCGTGAAAAGACCTGAAAGGTCCGGGTCCAAAAGAACCGGGTCCAAAAGAGTCCCAGAAGTAGAGGGACTGTTTGGATCAAAGTCAGACCTGAACTAAAGTTTTTTCTTTGTTCCTGACGGTCAGTAAAGTTTAGCTGAATTTCCACCAAACTGAAATGAAGCGCTCATTAACGGGTTCATACTCGGTTTCACTTCCTCCGACTCAAGAGAATAAAAACAAAGATTTACTGGAAAAAGATCAAATTCATTAAATTCACAGACGAGGAAGGAGGAGCACAAACGAACTTTCATTTTCTGTAATAATTTATTTCCATAAAGACACTAAAAACTGAAACAAACAGAGTCCACGTTCAGACTGCAGGTCAGTTCTGATTGGTTCTGATCCGACCCTCTTCTGTATGTGGATATAAATCAGATATGTATCTGATGTGACTGCAGTGTGGACGCTCAGGTCGCGTTTATCCGACCTTTACGTCATCAACATGCGACAAACGTCACCGTTGTGAAACTAACTTCACCGCCGTATTTACAGGAAAAAAAAAACATTCGTAGAATTTTTTTATTCACACACGTCGATTTTTGGTCGAGCCTGTAAAGTGATTTAAAGTTCATCTTATTTTGAAAATTCTCTGTATTTTGTCATAACATCGTCAGTTTTTGAACAATTACAGTTTTAAACAACACTGTCCTCACAAAGTATTAAAGACACACACACACACACAGATGTGATTTAGTACATTAATAAGGACCGTTATTCAGACAGTGAGCAGCAGCTGCAGTTCCTCTCCTGTCCACTAGGTGCTGCTGTGATTAAACTGCATTAATGTGAAAACCTTCAACTACACATACAAATACATTTCACAGCATGATGTCACTTCCTGTCATGTGATCTTTTTCAAACAAATAGTCCATCTCATGAAGTGAACAGCAGCTCCTGCATGTCCTCCATGTTTTTACATCACTTCCTGTCAGAGTGGGCGTGGTCACAGGTGGTATTTCTCCAGGTTTTCACCCCCGCCCCGCCCCAGGACCTGGTGCTGATCCAGGACTCTTAGCGAGCGGTGATACCGGGCTCAGACCGCCTTTTCCTGTGGAGCCAGGGAGGAGGTCTTGGTCGGCCGACGAGGAACGACACGGGGGGCGGAGCCTAGAGGCAACGCAGCGCGGGCTGGCGGTGACGGAGGAGAGCGTCTGCTGAGAACCGTTCTGGAACGACGAGTTATTGGAGTTCTGACGGGAACGGGAATTATAGTGAGCGCGAAAACCCGGACGTTTCCGCTTCCACTGACAGCGCAGGATCCGGAGGAAGGCCTGGAACCGGAACAGGGAGGAACAGGAGTAACAGTACTACGATTAGTACTAGTACTAACAACAGTAACAGTTCTACGATTAGTACTAGTACGAACAACAGTAACAGTACTGCGATTAGTACTAGTACTAACAACAGTAACAGTACTACGATTAGTACTAGTACGAACAACAGTAACAGTACTGCGATTAGTACTAGTACTAACAACAGTAACAGTACTACGATTAGTACTAGTACTAACAACAGTGACAGTACTACGATTAGTACTAGTACTAACATCAGTAACTGTACTTGAGTTAGTTCTAGTACTAACAACAGTAACAGTACTACAGTTAGTACTAGTACTAACAGCAGTAATAGTACAAGATTTAGTACAAGTAGTAATAGTATAAGATCTGCTAGTAGTAGTAGTAGTAGAAGTATTATTATTAGTAGTATAAGTAGTAGTATAAGTATTACTAGTATAAGTAGTAGTAGTAGTAGTATTATAATCAGTAGTAGTATTAGTATCAGTAGTCTTCGTAGTAGTTGTAGTATTAGTATTAGTAGTAGTAGTAGTATTATAATCAGTAGTAGTATCAGCAGTTTTATTAGTAGTATTGTTAGTATTAGTATTAGTATCAGTCGTAGTAGTAGTAGTAGTAGTATCAGTAGTATTATTAGTAGTATTGTTAGTAGTAGTAGTAGTATCAGTAGTATTATTAGTAGTATTGTTAGTAGTAGTAGTAGTATTAGTATCAGTCGTAGTAGTAGTAGTATTAGTATCAGTCGTAGTAGTAGTAGTATTAGTATCAGTAGTAGTAGTATTATAATCAGTAGTAGTAGTAGTAGTAGTAGTAGTAGTAGTAGTAGTATCAGTCGTATTAGTAGTAGTATTGGTAGTAGTAGTATCAGTATCAGTAGTAGTAGTAGTAGTAGTAGTATCAGTCGTAGTAGTAGTAGTATTAGTATCAGTATCAGTAGTAGTAGTATTGGTAGTAGTAGTATTATAATCAGTAGTAGTATCAGCAGTTTTATTAGTAGTATTGTTAGTATTAGTATTAATATTAGTATCAGTCGTAGTAGTAGTAGTAGTAGTATCAGTATCAGTAGTAGTAGTATTGGTAGTAGTAGTATTAGTATCAGTAGTAGTAGTAGTAGTAGTAGTAGTAGTATTAGTATCAGTAGTAGTATTAGTATCAGTAGTAGTAGTAGTAGTAGTAGTATCAGTCGTACTAGTATTGGTACCTGTTTGAACTCGCGGCTGTAGCAGGGGTAGATGACGGGGTTCAGGCAGCTGTTGAAGTATCCTAACCAGAAAATGACTTTGAAGAGAGTCTCAGGAGGTCGAAGGTCACTGTTGAACGACACTGCACACACACACACACACACACACACACACACACACACACACACACACACACACACACACACACACACACACACAGTTAGACAGGTTCAGTGTTAATGAGATGACACTGATCGTTGTCGTTGTTGTTTGTTGTTGACAGATTTATCATATCTTTTAATGAGGAGATGCAGGTCAGCTTGTTCACCACCAGGGGGCAGCATGAACCAGAGCTGACTGCAGGTTCTCCACAGAGTGAAGCTGCAGCTCATCTTCCTGTTCTCTTAGATTCGACCTGAGGTTCAGATTTTACTTCATGTTTCCTTTAAAAAACTTTTTATTCTAAATACTTTCAAAGGGGGACGAGTCCGGACCACATCAGTCCGGGTCCTCAGCAGGACTCCTCTCCTACAGAACCATGCTGGTGTCAGAATCTGGTTCTGGATCATATGAGGGTCTTCCCTGAAAATGTCCTGGTCTGGATGGAAGCAGATGTTGGTCCTAAACCTGGAGACCTAGTTCAGTATTAAAGGGATATTCTGTCGTTAAATTAATTCAGGGTCAAACCCTCCGTAACACCGAGTTAGACACCCGACCGCCTGCTTCTCAGGCCAGTCCATTACAGACTCCAGCGGGGTGCCGCAGCTCAAGGAAGAACATTTATGATCATTTCTTCATCATTTCCTTGAAGTAATAATCACCATATTGATCATTTTACAGACGCTGTAGTTCTTCTGTCTTAGCGTCTCGGTCTGATTGTATTTCCATGAAGAAATGATCATAAATGTTCTTCCTTGAGCTGCGGCACCCCGCTGTAGTCTGTAATGGACTGGCCTGAGGTCTATATGTCCTGTTGATGAAGTTAGGTGCTGTTCTGAGCATTATTTGTGGCTATAGAGTGGCGTTTTGGTTGGGGGCGTGTCTCTCTGTATTTCTATCCTGCGGTCGTTACTAAAGTTGGTATAACTAGAGAAGGAAGCGGTCGACAACATTCATCTCAGGAGGCGGGGTCTAACTCGGGGTTACGGTGGGGTTGATCCTGGTGGATGGACCCTCTAGTCTGCAGAGTCCAGGATTTCCAGAAGGTCAAACTCGTCAAAGATTCAAAGACTTCATTTTTTTTCGTCTTTTCTGGATTTTCTCTAAACTTTTTAAAGTTCTCCGCTTCAGTTTCTGCGGTTTTGATGAAACGAGGAGGTTTTATCCAGAACCATCAGCCCCCCCCTCAGGTGCTGACCTGTACTGGATCAGGTGATCTGCGCTGAGTCGGAGGATTTTTGGAGGATTTGGAGGATTTGGTGGATCAGGTTTTTGATGTTCTCAGACTGACCGTTTCAGGTGGATTATTGAGCCCTGAGTTTGGACTTGTAAGGCCATCCTGCCCCTCAGGCTCCGTCTCTGACTATATATGCAGACTCTGATCTTGGCCATGAGAGAATCATGTGACAGCGGCCCATGATGCATTGCTGTCTGTTTAAGTGCTACAGAAGAAGAGCATGTCCTAGTTTGGCGATCTCTCCGGAAGTTCAACGTCTATTTTGGTTTCATCTAAACGTCTCCTCCACTCTTCTTCTTCTTCTTCTTCTGTGGTGTTTGTAAACGCCGCAGAGCTCAGCTGAAGACCAGAGGTGGAGACGATCTCGGGTTCGAACCCTTGAAGGAGCTTCACGCTAACACCAGCGAGCCAACAGATCCAGGTGTGATGATGGGAACCACGTTTTCAGCTGAGTCAGCAAAAGAAAAGAAACTCCGACCGCTCGGCTCTGAGCCAATCAAAAGCCAGTATTGGTCAGTTCATGGTCCATCTGTCCATCAAAGTTCAACCTTGATTCAGAAGATACATGAGGAAGAACCTGAGCGTCTTCTCTGCTGACTCAGATCTTCATCAGATCTTCATCCTCACTGATGGAGGGTGACCTGAAATTGACCAGGTAGACCTGTTGGACCCTTCCACGCCAGCGCCGTCTTTGAGCCCTGCCCCCTCTACTCTGACGTTGTCTTTACGACCCACCCCTCCACACCAGCACTGTCTTCAAGCCCCGCCCCCTCCACGCCGGCATCCTCTTTGAGCCCCTTTGAGCCGGCTGGCGGTCTGAGCAGCACGTGTTCCTGATCTGAATCAGCAGGTAAATCCTCTGATCACAGGTGTGTTTGTCTGAGCTTCAGTCTGTAGACCCCGGATTAGTCTCTCTTATGAAAGCTGCGGCGCTCCAGAGGTCGCCTAAAGCCTGAGGGATTGTGGGTAATTCTTCATTTAGACTGTACAGTGTTCAAAGACTAAAGTCAGAGCAGATCTGAGATTAAAGAGACAAGAACCTCTGAGGACATCACTGACTCATCAGACTGATCAATATACTGATCAATACTGTGATCAATAATCAAAGTGTGTGTCGTTTTGTATCACAGCTGGTCTTCTCATTTTCTTCCAGTCTTCATGTCTCTTGGATCAGTTTCAGGTCTGAGGAGGATCTGATCCTTCATTTCCACCGTATCCAGAACGGCGGCGATTTTCACCGTCCGCCACTTCCTACCGGAAATTACAGTGAGGCGAATTTCTTGGTGGATTACAGACAGCAGTAATCTCGAGAACTCACAAGAACCTGCAGATTCATGTTCAATCTCCCGATAACGAGTCGTCTCTCTAAAGACAGACACATAGACATATAAGCAGTAGATTGTGTCCTTCCAGAGGAGGAAATCTACTTCTAGACTTCTAGAATCAGCATCTCCTCATCCATGGTGTCATCGGGGTGAAATGACGTCTAAAAACCTTTCACTTGTTCGTCTCCGCCCGTTTGCATGGTGTGAAATACGATCCTCCTGAAACACGGAGTGTTTTATTTTGAAAAGAAGCCGGATGTTTTATTTTGTGTCTGTGCCCGACTTCCTTTCCAGCACGGGTTCATCTGTGCTGAATTTATCCGCCATGCTCCGGCGTCCAGAAAAACTAGAACTCTTGTGATCAGCTGAGGAGTCCGGCGATCCGCAGAGGAACGGAAAGAAGTCGGTGTAAATTGACACGTTAACTTGAATGGTTACGATCAGCTACGATCGGAGGATACGACCTTTTAGGAGACGATCAGGATGAAGGTGGAGATCGGGGGTCAGGGGGTCCGACTCTAGGAGGTGGTCTTTGAAGAGTCCAGGTCCCTGAACAGGACTGAGACAGGGGTCCTCAGATCAGTCTTCTGGTGTTTTCTGGTCTTTATTGGCTCTGACAGACCCCCCCCCCCCCCCCCCCCCACACACACACACACACACACACACACACACACACACACCCGCTGTATTCTGGGATATGAGCCGGAGGCGAACGGCGTCTGGCGTCGTTTCTGCGGTGGGAAATGGAGCCTTAAAAATAAAGAAACATCAAGAGTGTCAGACTTCCTTTTCTCTCCGTCAAAACAAAACTCTGAAACTCCGGCTGCTGATTGGACGCTGACAGAAACTCCAGCTGCTGATTGGACGCTGACGGGGGAAACGGGTCGGTTCAGGCCAAATATTTGAAAAATGGAGAAAAGGAGTGATTTGATTTCTGAGCATCAATCAGAGTTTATTTGACGTCTGCAGAGTTCAGAGTCGCTCTGATGACGATGAAGACGATGAAGACGATGATGATGATGAAGATGATGATAAAGATGACGACTTTGAGTATCAGATTTTTTACGTTTCTGAAAACAAAAACACGTCCGATCATAAATTTATGGATCAGGGTTTCAGACTGATCCAGGATCAGACTCTGGATCCTCTGACCCCCTCCTGGTTCCGTTCTTGTTTCTAACACCTGAACTTTCGGATTTTGCCGATTCACCTTCTCATTTTTTCGGTTTCTGTTTTTTCTGTTAAATCACTTTATCATTTGTCTTTAAAGATGCTGTATAAATAAAGTTATTATGATTATTATTATTATTAGGTTATTGATTAATCGTGATTTGTCTTCAGCGCTCTGATTCGTCGTTTTGATCATGTGACATTTTTGAGCGACAGACTCTCTGATTCTGGACTTTTGGTTCTGACCGTCTCTGCTCTCCATCCACCCACTGACTGTGTATTGGTGAGAACTGATCAGGCTGGTATTGAACAGTATTGATCAGGTCATGTGTTTGATCAGCTGATTGGTTCACAGCTGTTTTCAGACGTACCGATGGGCAGGGCGAGGAAGAACGGCAGCCAGCAGAGGATGAACATGCCGACCACCACGCCCAGCGTCTTCGCCGCTTTCTTCTCTCGAGCGAACTTCTGCAGTTTGAGGCTGAGCGAGCTTCGAGCGGCGGAGGCTCCGCCCCCTCCGGCCTTGGAGGCGGGGCTGGGTTCCTGGGCCTGCTGGTTTCTGCAGTGGATCCTCAGGGTGAGCTCGTTAGAGTTCTCCTGACGCTCCTTCATCACGCCGGCCTCCAGGTTCTTGGTGGTGCGTTTGGCCACGACGTAGACGCGGCAGTACATGGCGAGGATGACAAAGAGCGGGATGTAGAAGGAGCCGAGAGACGAGAAGAGGGCGTAGAAGGGCTCCTCCGTGATCACGCACACCGTGTCGTCCTGCAGGAGGGAGAGAGGTCAAAGGTCAGTTTGAGGTCAGGTCAAGTTTACTTAAAGCTCCTGTGAGGGTGGGGTCGACAGGAACCCGTTAAAGAATCATCTTCTAATATCAGTCAATCGTTATTAGTTATTGATTATTTGGTAATATATCGATATCTCTGTGTTCTCTTATGTCTGTGTAGTCAACATTTGAACATTTTTGAGCGGTCCGCTCTTTCTGACTGTAAACAAAGCCGTTCTCCACCTCCTCTAACCTGATTGGTTGTGAGGCAGACGCTGCTCCCCCGTGTCGTTCAGGAGCCCAAACAAAGTTAGCGTGCTACAATATCGGACAGTAGAAACCAACCAGGAAGTTCGGAAAATTGTCTGAATCCTCCTTTGGCCACGACTGCCGACACAAGCAAGAAAACAAAGTAAATACCGGAGACTCTGGAGGAATAACGGGCGCTTAAAACGGAGGTAGACCGGACAAGAGCTAAAAAGCCGGGTCAACATAAACCATGGGGGACGCTTGGGGATCTTGGTGACCCTGTAACCTTTCTGCTGGACAGGTAAACCGCTTTAACAAAGTAAGACAAGTGTCTGTAACAGAAGTGTTTCTTGTCAAACGGACCTGCTGTAGCGTGTTGTAGCGCCATCGCTAAACTGTCCTCCCTCGGGTCCTGGACTATGTCACTTTATCCTCGTTGTAGAAGTCCTGCAAACATTGTGTTTGCTGGTAGTCTGTTGGCATCTACAGTAGCACCAATGCTTTTGACTTTCACCTTGACTGGGCCCCATTTGTAATGATCTGAAGTATTTATCTGCATTATATCTGAATTTAACTGGAACGATACGAGCGAGCAGGAGCGTCTGTTTGTGGGCGGGGCTTGAGGGGAGAGGAGGAGCTGAGGGGAAAACTGGTTGGAGGGGTCGAGTTTACATTTAAGAGTTCTCCTAAAAACTGGAACTAACTCAGATCCTGAACTACAACACCTTTAACGTCATTCACTCAGAAACGCTCCTTCACTGTTATGAAGGTTTATTTACGTTGACTATCATCTCTGATCCTTCGCCACGTTCACACGTCTGTCAGAGTCTTCGCTGTGGCGGCCTCAGTCGGGGTTAAAGTCGAGGTTTATCTCTGACCCTCGCCACCGTTTAAAGATTTCACGGGCAGTTGAAACATTTCAAGGATTATCCGCTCAGGGTCAGTGGTGCATGATGGGTAATACAGTAAGTACCTGTGATGGCGGCTGCTTCCAGCCCAGCAGCGGGCCGATGGAGATGATGGTGGCGAGGATCCAGACACCCAGCATGGCGAGCAGCGCCCTCTTCTCTGTGACGATGGTGGGGTACTGCAGCGGGTAGCGAACGCCGATGTAACGGTCAATGGAGATGGCGCACAGAGACATGATGGAGGCGGTGCAGCACAGGACGTCCACCGCCGCCCAGATATCACAGAAGATCCGACCGAACACCCAATAATCCAGAATCTACAGAGACAGGAAGTAAGTGAGCCCACTTCCTGTTTATGTTTATAGAAATAAGTTCAGTCACTCATTAGCGGACGACGTGTGAATAAATTAACCAGCTGAAAAAACCTCACAGAGTTCAGGCGCCGCAGAGGAAAGAAACAAACAGAATTTGATGGTTTGACAAAATTTTACAGTTTATAAAAAAAGAGAGAGAAAAAAAAATGAAAAAAAAGTTTCTAATGAAAAATCTGCTGACTTTAAATCTGAGTCTGGATAATCTGATGAGTGTTTGTGTCGTTCATGAACGATCCGTTCAAAAGAACCGCTGAGTGAACGACCTGAACTGAATCACTCTGAGGCCTGATTGGTTCTTTTCTTAGTTCAGTTGAGCTCAGCCTGGCGTGTCGGTCAGGAGTGGAACTGACGCCTTTGACTCTTAGGCGAACGACTCACAGCCAGAGAGCGAGAAGGTGGGCGGAGTCTCGAGAGTCTCATTTATCAAACTGTTAAAGCTCACAAACCATCGTCAGATGAGAAATCCGACACTCTGACTCTCCACAAGTCGTCCTTCAGGTCGTTATCTTTGTAATGTTTGTGTCTTTTATCAAAAATCACTCTGTTCTCCGACACGGAAACAATCATCCGGTCAGCCATGTTGGATATACCGGTGAATCTGACGTCTCAACAACACGAAATCTGATTGGTCAGAAGTGGACACACAGTATCTTTTAAATGAATCGTTTTAATGAACGGATTCTAAAGAATTAGTCAAAAGAACTGATCTTCACATCACTACACACATCACTGTCAGACTCCAGAACCTGGTCTGCTGGGTTCACTAAAGTCTACAGATTCTGGTCTGCTGGGTTCAGTAAGGTCTACAGAACCTGGTCTGTTGGGTTTACCAAGGTCCACAGTGGACACACGATGAGAAACATGAGCCTGTATAAAATGTCAAACATACATTTGTCATGATTCAGGCACCTGTCTCAGTTCCTCCTGGTTATTTCCTGAACTATAATCTCTACATTATTTAAATACAGACTTTTCTGACCTCTGAACAAACACAGACTGTGACTTTATTTAACCTAGAATTCACCTGACTGTCATAAACACTGAGAATATTTGTAGTTTTTTCCTCCTCGGACCTTTTCTTTCCTTTTTAAACAGACAAATCTCCACTAACTGATCGATAATCAAACCCTCATCGATCCCCGGGTCAGACCTCCAGCGTGGCGGACACCGGCAGCACGGTGGTCCCCAGCAGCAGGTCGGCGATGGCCAGGTTAATGATGAAGTAGTTGGTGGGGATCCGCAGGTGTCGGTTACAGACCACCGCCAGGATGACCAGGATGTTCCCCACGATGGCGCACATGATGAAGAAGGCCAGAACCATGCCCACCGGGACCGCCCGGCGCAGGTCCAGCGGGGCGGGGACGTGCTGGGAGCCGGAGGAGCGGTTGATGGAGGAGTTGGAGTCCGGCAGCGGGTCGTGTGTCCCCGGGTAAAAGTCAGCAGAGGTTCCGTTTGTCCACAGATCCATGATGGAGAAGAAGAGAGGAGAGTTTGTCTGAATATGTCCGGATTAAACAAACAAAGAGGGATGTTCAGATCTACAAGTGCAGCTCTTCAGGAGGATTTAATCTCTTTAATTCGAGGGGAAATCTGATGTTTGTTTGTCCCTCCTCAGATTCACAGCCCTGTTAATCCTCACAGTCAAAAATTTAACTTATACTCTCAACAAAAACCGTCAAATCCGTAAAAAGCCGAAGTTTTCCCGCCCATGGCTCGGAGAACCGCTCGTGCCGAGAAGCGCGCGGCTCAGCAGCAGGTGGAGTTCGGGTCAGCTCGGTTCGGGTCGGTTTCTCCTCCTGCCGGTAAGTGCAGCTCCTCCCCGGGTTAAAGTGTGGACCGAGGAGCGGGTCAGTGTGTCCTTTTATGGTCCAAGTGTTAAAGAAGGGAGAGTTTCAGCCGGAGTCAAAGAAGAGGAGGAACTGCTGCTCCTCCTTTTCTCCCTCTGAAGGAGCAGACTCTCTGTCTTCATCTCTCTACCTTCCTTATTTACTGGTTTGTCTCCACCCCAGCTCTCCTTCAGCTTCAAGATCCTCCATGTTTTAAAGTAAAATCCTAAAATCCCACACAAATGTGAAGTCAATTCTGAAGTCCCACTCTCCTGAGTGTCCACGTGAGGCAGGTTCCTGAAGTGAGTCACCTGTACGGTGGCCGAGAACTGCCACTGCTGCTAATAAAAAAAGAACGCAAAAAAAGAAACCGAAGAACGCAGAAAACAAAAAAGAAACTGTGCAGAGTTTAAAAAAAAAAAACACAACAGAAGTTACTGATGCAAAAAAATAAATGAAATTAAACAAAAACCTTTCCACGAACTTCTTTGTTCGTCTTCTCGCCGTCGTCTTCTGTGCCTAAATCGTAAAACACCGGTGCATCATCATTATTGGTCCCCGACAGTTCACTTCCAATGTGGCTTTTTTAATTTGCATCCTTTTATTTTCACAGTAAGTAACTTTTTTTTTTTTTTTGCGTCGTTACCTTCTGTTGTGGCTTTTTTTTTCCTGCACTGTTTCTTTTTTTTATTTGCAGCGTGCTTTGGTTTCTTTTTCTTTTTGCATCGGTAACCTCCTTCATTTTTTTTGCGTTCTTTTTTCATTTGCAGCAGTGGCGCTTCTCGGCCCCCGTACAGTCCTCATGAATCATGAACACAACAACGTTGAAAAAAGCAGACGTATTATCTGTACCTCCGTCCTTTCCCAGTTTTGGCATCAGTAAAGTAGTTCTGGTTCTTTTTGGACCCGTCATGTTTGTGTGTTTAAATATCAGCGTGTTCATCATGACCTTCACAGCTGGAGACGCCGTCACTCAGAGGAAACTCGTCATCAACACGTCAGAGATTCATCCGCCTCTGAAAGTAGATCCTGACAAACGCCTGATGACTGACAGCTTCATGTCTGTGTGTGTGTGTGTGTGTGTGTGTGTGTGTGTGTGTGTGTGTGTGTCGGGGACAGTCTCAGGTGATATAAACGTCCTGTTGGGGGGGTGAGCTCTATTTTAGACCCTCATAAGCGCCATAGCGACAGCCAATCAGAGAGCGCGTTGTCATCAGAGAGAGCGTCTATTTCAGGTTCAGCAGAACCTCTAAAACCCACCTGGACCCCTTTAGGGACGCCTGCTGAATCCTGTTAGACCCTATGGTGGGGTCTGGGGACAGAACCCGGTCCAAACTTTTCAGAGACTCAGTTCCGGACTAGGACCCTCTGCAGTTCTGAGGTTCTGAGTTCTAGGTCTTCTCCTAAAGGTGACTGCTGGGTCCTACAGTGTCGGGTTCTGGAGCAGTTGGTTCTGTAGATCTTGGTTCTGTAGTTTTTGGTTCTGTAGTTCTTGGTTCTCATTCCCACAGTGGGTCAGTCCTGTTTTCAGGTCAGAACCGGTTCTAAAGGTTCCTCTTGGCCCTCAGACCTTCAGGATCAGCTGGTGTCAGAGTTCTTGGTTCTGGGTTCAGGTCCAGTTCTGTGTGGAGGACTTCTTCAGACCCAGTTTACAGTCCAGATGACCCGGCACTGAGACCGAACCGAACCGACTGGACTGAGAGGAAACAAACAAAGAACTGTAAAACTCAGTTTCCCAGAATCCTCTTCTGCAGAGACCCCCCGAACGCTGCTGTGTGTTTCCACGGCAACAGGTCCAGTCATGTGTTCAGGGGGGGTGATTGGTCGACAACGTCCCGACACTCTGGGGGGTCTGAGTCTCTGGGTTCATGATGTCTGGACTCTGCAGGTCCGCTCAGACCCGGGTCACTTTGATTTAAGATCCTGAACCAGAACCAGGACTCTGCTGACCCCTCAAAGTTCTGGAGGATCCTTTAATCCAGACTCTAATCCAGGAGATGATCCACCAGCTGATCCTTCTCACGACCCTGAAGGAGGTCTCAGAGAGTCCATGTGGAGACCAGAGTCCTCAGAACCTGCAGGTCTGAGCCAATCAGGAGAGACCAGAGTCCACAGGTGAGTCCACAGGTGAGTCCACAGGTGAGTCCACAGAGACCTGGTCTGCTGTCCAGACTAAGACTAACTCTGCGGTCTCTGAGGGACTTTTTTGTTCTTCTGTGTTCTTGTTCAGTCCGCAGATCCTCTCCTGATCTGAGGTCAGTGGTCTGGGTCTCCCCTCTGACCTTTGACCTCTGGCTCAGGTTGGTTCTAACAGCAGGACACGCCCCCTGCTGGACGGTTAGTTTGAGCTCAGAGCGAGAAAATGTGGAGGACCATAAACCCGTCAGCGCTCTGAGTTATTGTTAGCCGGGGTGAAAACGGCGTCCTGTCCCTTTAAAATTCACACACACACATTCCTGAGATTACAGAGTCTGCGGAGAGTCCAGAGCCCAAGTCCTGGTCCTGGGTCCTGGTCCTGAGTCCAGCTCAGAGAGCAGCAGGGCAGCAAGTACCGGTGTGAACACTACAACTGTAAACAACAACAAAAATAAACAAAAATAAACAAAAATAAACAAAAGTTCAAATCAAAATATGAAAATGAAATAAAAGGAGAAATAAAAACACTGAAACTCTCAGAACCAGGATCAGCAGGACGGCTGCAGACCTGGATCAGGTCCGGAGAGTGGAAACCAGCAAACGCAGGTTAACCTGGGATGGGTGTGTATACATCTACATGTATATATCTATATGAATACATCTATACGTATACATCTATATGAACATATCTACATGTGTATATCTATATGTGTATATCTATATGTGTATATCTACATGTGTATATCTATATGTGTATATCTATATGTGTATATCTACATGTGTATATCTACATGTGTATATCTATATGTGTATATCTATATGTGTATATCTACATGTGTATATCTACATGTGTATATCTACATGTGTATATCTATATGTGTATATCTATATGTGTATATCTACATGTGTATATCTACATGTTTATATCTATATGTGTATATCTATATGTGTATATCTACATGTTTATATCGACATGTGTATATCTATATGTGTATATCTATAAACCCAGCTCCATTGAAGTTTGAAACTGTGATAAACGTAAATAAAAACAGAATTCAATGATTTGTAAATCCTTTTTAACTTATATTCAGTTTAATAAACTACAAAGACGAGATATTTAATCTTCAAACTCATAAACTCTATTTTATTTTTTTGAAAATAATCATTAACTTTAGAATTTGACGGCAGAAACTCGTGACAAAGACGTTTGGAAAGGTGGTAAAAAGTCCTGATAAATTTGAGGAACGCTCATCAAACACCTGTTTGGACCGTCCCACAGGTGAGCAGGCTTATAGGGAACAGGTGGGTGTCATGA